TTTATATAATATCAGACAATGGAAGTCCGAACTAATGAAATTCATCATTTCATCATGGAACATTGTCAATCACCTTCAAACAAATGGCTATACATATATTTCAATAAAAATGTTCAAACACTTTGATCTTCTTGAAGATGATCACTTGGTTTGGTGTTGGGAAAAAACTCCAGTTACATTCATTACTACACCAAAGGTTCCAATCATAAGTTTATAAAGAAGAATTTAAGGTTCCCGTGAATTTTTCTATTTTGGTAAATCATGTACATCAAACATTGATCGATTGAATGTCTGGCTGAAATTTTAAATTTGAATTATCACTCAAAACAATACAACTCAATGACTTTTTCAAATGGTTTTCCTACACTATGTAAATTGTTCATTCTAGGTTATCAACAAGCGTACAGGAAAGACCAAAGTTGGTAATTAGCTCAATGAAATCAATTGAAAATGATTCCAACCATACAAGTTCCAGAAATACTACAGGGGACTCCGTCAATGTTGAAGATATACCACAAATAAATGAAGCATCTGAAGAATCGTTCATAAATATCAAAGATGATATTCCAGAATCACTTTCGCATATAACTACGGACCTACCAGAAGAAAATATCACAACTCAAGAAATACTGATAACGAATCAAGAAGAAAATAATAACAATACTATGGAGTTCGTCTTGCAAATTGGAACTGCAGCAATAATCTCATTGGCAGGTGGAGGCATAGGGTAAAAATCAGTGTTAAATTATTATGAGTTACTCAGTTTCATGTTTCGTAATTAAATATTTGTGATTCAGTATCAAAAATGTATCCATAACTGTAATATAACACTCATTTGAATCATTCAATTTTTCACTTGCGAATCCCGAGACGACTGTCACCATAAATTTTTCATGTTTTTGTCATGTCATGTCATGTTAGTTACCTGAAATATAGCGGCAACTGTTAACACACTGTTAACACACACATAATAACACATGTTATTAAATTCAGAAGTTTATTCTAACCTCCAATGGTAATTACTGGGGTGACGAAGTACTGGATTGTTTTTTCGGTAAATTCATCTCATTCATTAGAATGAGAAACAATCAAATAAAATCTTGAAGAAATTCAACCTAACATTTAAAAAACTAATAAAGGCAAAAAATTGAAGCCGTTTTCAAGTGCAGTTCTTGACCAATATTGTATTGTAACTAGGTTAGTAGCATACATATAATGATTCACATTGTCATACTGTATAAAATCAAATGGACAAAAAATTTGAAATGAAAGTAAATCAAAAGGGAGCTTGATTTGTTTATTTTGTTAGATCCTTTTCCCAATCTACTTGTGATGCTCTGTTTGGAACCTTTGGTATAGTTATGAAAATTACTGTTATTATACCACCTCGATCCGTGTTTCGATCACCAAGTGATCATCTTCAAGAGGAAGATTAAACTAAATCTACTTACAATGTTATCCTTATTTATACTATAAATACCTCTTCTAGGTACCTGCGTTTTGAGTGTCTTAAAAATTAATTTCACAATATTGCCTTATGTACTAGCCCCAAATTAACTCTACAATGTTTCCTTATGTAATAGGTAAATCTAATAATTGATATTATTTCAACAAGCTATATAGTATACTATTAGGTATTAATCCCCCATCGTTATTCACAATATTAATATATTTACTTATTTCTATACT